AATACATTTAAAACATCAATTTCACTAAAAGGTATTTCCTAAAAACTCCGTTTTCTGCTGAATATTTCAATACTATTTCTGACTTGAACAGATTCGATTCTCCGCGCCTAACAGTCATAGAACACAAAATGTCTAGTAAGTTTATAAAGTTAGTCATTTATTGTACAACCTAATGATGATGAAATCTTGGAAATGACTGCACTTTTCTAACGCAAGTCATGTATATTTTAATCTAATCACCTGAAATGTTTATTCGGAGCCAGGACATAAAACGTTCTATTAAAGTGATTAAAGTAACCAAGGGACTTACGCATAACTTTGTTAACCGACAGGGTCTTGTAGTTCGAACATATCCGAATATGCAAATCTATGAGTTCTATGCTAATCTGCTTTGTGCAGTGATGATAAGTATTACGCGTATCGAACTGTGCGGAGTTCAGCGCGGTGCGTGACGACGAGGAGTGAATCTGTGGATGACGAGTAACATCTTCTTACGCCGGGAAAGCGAACTGACATACACACACTTCCAGTTCTTCTCCACGTGCTCATTCGACCACGCTCTCTTGTTCCTCTATTCAGTTCCACACTCTGCCCTTATTTCTATTTATAACCAACTAGCTCATTACGTCCGACCGTCTGGTCCATATGTCAAAGATGTTGATTTCCATGTGTATTCGATAACGTTTGTGTTACCATCGATATCACGCAGGTTAATACAGTTCCATAAACACATTGGACATATGATTTTAATATTAAATGGGATTCATGCAGCGATTTCAATTTGACTCCAGAGGTGGACCTTTGAACGATCACACTACGCCCAGTACATATGAGCCACAATCATCTGTTCCCATTACACTTGAAATTGACCTTCGTGTCCACCTTGCGGCGTTTCACCACCGTTTACGTAGTAGTCGTCTTATAATCCCCTCACCAAATTCTAACAAGAAGTTATACATGCGGGTTTTTCCAGAGTCACGTGGTAACGACGACTAGAATAACACATGCGTGATTGGTAGTGATTATTCGAGACTGCATTTTGTAGAAAAATCACGGTACAAACACAGTACACCCAACTCTATAATTATAAACGAACTTTGTATTAAAAAATGGACTCCACTAAATGTTCGATGTTTAATTTGCTAACCACTAAAGCATCAAGCATATATATTAAGACAGTAAGATTTAAATCGAAAATTATTAAGTGTTTTGTTGTTCTAAATATTGTCCACAATTCGTGAAAAGTTGTCTAAACTTGGAATTTCCTGTCCACATTTACTGTACAGAATAGCGAATAGAACTGGACCCACTTTCAAATGACAAACTCCAGTGACGTATTTCCATACTTCACCCAGATATGCAGACATGCAAATATTTATATATTATTATATTGTTGGTGATTTATATGTATTATTTACCTGTATATGAATGTACAGTACGTGATTTGTGGCACGATCCCCACCCTAAAAAAATTATCCCACCCCACCCGCATAAGCTGATATATCTAACAACGCAGTGCGAACAGCGCAATGCATAAACATACACACATACGCCCGCGTAAGCGAAACAATATTTGTATTTCCCGGCATTTGCTTCTTCATTGAACAAATCGTCCAAAATAAGTGTCAATGGAAACATACATGAAATACGATAGTAGTAACTAGGATGATATAGTGTTACGGTAAACTGATACACTAAATAATGATTGTTATCGCGGAGGTCAGTCTATTACACCACCTCCCACATGTATTGCCAACCTTTTGCAATATACTGGTAGTATCGCTCCAATTATCGTTTCTGATTGTCTTTAATTGTCTCGAAAATGGTTTCAGAATTTGTTAACAGGTATGTGGTGAATATACTACACATTAATGTAGAGAATAGCACTGGTGATACATTTTCGACGGTTTTGGTTGGAATTAATTTCTAATATTTGGTAACTGGTTAGCTTTATAAAGTCGGCAAAAATTGCGTTTCTTACCAGCCGGCGATTAGTTAAAACTTGCGGCAAAAAATAAAAAAAATAAAATAAAAAACGCACCCCTCCGCTGACCGCGACACAAGTCGACCGTTAAATCAGATCTCAGCGATTGCAAATACAGTGTATAGTAAACTCAGATTAAGAAACAAATTATATCTGTCATATGGAGGATTGTGAAAATTACTGGGATTGTCACGTGACTATCTTAAAACATATTTACACATTATACAACAACGTGTATGAAAAATGAGGCTGGGTCATCTGGTAACATTTTCTGGTTTGCTTTTATATATAAACAAACTACAATCACCGACGAACGTCTACTGATATTTGACACAGAATCTACATCCCCCATATCTTGCACGCTCAAATGCTGATTGATTTTTGTAAGAAAGGTCTAATAGTCGGGAAAAATAGACAAAAAAAATACCAACTATTTCGGGAGATTGCGTATTCTGAAAAAGATTGGCCCCGTGGTTGGATGAACGGAATGATCTGTTGGCCGTCCATGGTACGCGCAGGTTCGCTTCAACTAACCAAGACAATACGCCGATGAAAGGCGGTCATAGTTAGCGCATCGGCAGCGTGTAGAATAGAAGTACGTGAATGGGGGAGAAAGAGACAGCGACTAATTCGCCAACAATGCCCCGTATCAATGTAATTGAATGAGTATCGATTTAATAGGGAGAGAAAAGACTACAGTCTAATGTTGAAACTAACACAATGACTCTGAATAAGCATCCGGAATTGGGTGGAAATTACCGGTTGGTTGAAAACAAATCATCCGATGTTACTGCGCACAATTATATCTATCAGTTGCATTCAAATCGGCATTTTTGTGGGAATTTTCGTCTAAACGCCCTTCTGCATGGACGATAATGGGCGACGCCAGGGGCTCACTCAACCCATTCAACTGTACTCCTAATAGCTGTTCCAAACATTGTTCACTACCCTCCTTCAAGGAACGGTTCGCCTCTTTCATACATGTAAAACTCACATGTGGCGGACCCGGGCCATTTTCAGATATTATAATCAGTATAAACAATATTTGGAGGAGTGGGGGAAAACGTTGTTTTTCGTGCAATTAGCACCAATTACTTTGCGATTACTAAGTGTGACGAATTGAGTTGCCGATAAAATGTATACACTACGGTGAACACGTTTATCCGTATGACCATGTGAACATACGACGCAGACGAGAACAGACGAGAACAGACGCAGTATTGTATCACGCTAACATATCAAACGGCGCAAAATATAACTAATAATCGCCGTCTCGGTATGAATAAATCATGTCTATGTAATTCTGTTCATATCTGGTGCGGGCTGTCATTTTAACGACATTTGTCAATGCCTTGCGTCACGTGGCATGCAATTACATGTAGCACGACACCTAACACTACTGGACAAAGTTGCGCACAATCGCTTTTAGTTTAATTTCGAAGTTGTGATGCATTTTACGTGAAATGTGTCTGTTTAAACAAATTAAAGTACTATACAATCACATGGGGTGGAAACAAAGTTATACTGCGCCTTTGATTGCATAAATAAATTAATATTATTCAAACAATTTTAAATTTTCGAAAATTACAAAAAAATACCACGTTTTTTTTTATCTTTGTTGTTACAATCTTCAGATATTATTGATAAACAATCATTAATTTTAAAGCTCGCTGAATGTTCAATTTTTCGCATATAAATCGGGCCACATGCCACAAGGGCTACTTTGAGTTCTTGGTGTACAATATTCTATAGATATTAATATTGAACCGATCTCTCAAAATCTTTTCCCCCGAGATGGTAAACGGAAACGGTATTTCGATCATCATCGCATCACAGACACCATTCAAATTTATTGAATATTTCAGAAGAAAAGGGAAAAAAATCGCTGCCTTCGTCAAAAAAGTTCATGAATTTTAATTAGTCATCGCAGTGGAAGATGAATCTCAGGTGCTTTAGCACTTACATCTTAGATAATCGGGATCACGGGGTCGAAACTCTCTAACGGTACGATTATTTGAGAATATAAACAAAAGGATTATTCGAAACGGCAAATCGGATCATACGGTGTAAGCCACTGGGATACTCGGAAACCTCGTTCTAATTAGACGTAAATAATGGTGTGTCCCGCGATTCTCCCTTGGCACACTTTTTGAAATTAGGAAATGTTGAGAGATTTTTGAAAAAAGAACTAGCCGCGCCAAACTTGTCACATTTCCCCCTCGTCCACACTGACAATCGTCGTCGTATATAAATTGGTTTAAACTTTCCAATTCATTTGACGTTTTATGTCAAATTTCACAAAGATGGTCGTCTGCTGGGAAAATGGCGGGAAATGAACAATGTGAACGGGACACTATCGTCTGATGGAAAATGGCTGTTTCATTTTTAGTACACAGTACTATTCTCTCTAGCCTAGCGGGCAACTGCAGCACTAATTTTTCAATCATAAATTTATAAAATTACTAAATAATGAAAACATGCTACGTACGCTTTTAAATGAATGACTGGCGAAGAAAAGACAGCCTAACATTACTATTACCAGGATACATCCTGATATTCGATCGAAGTGGATGATACAGATTTGGCTGGAGGCTACGAAAAAAAGGAAAAGTGCACCAACTGTCGTTTAAATTTCTAATATTACTTGACAATAATAACGTATATTACAACAAGAGCGACTAATAAATGTTTTAACCGAGTTGCCAAGGGAGACAGGATACGATCTCACTAGCTTTTGTTCACTCAATTAATTTTTTGTCTTTGAATAAATCATAAAACATGCATCATCTTGTCTTGTTAAATATTTGAGTGTACACCTAATGTATTGATATTACTACATACGGCAAACGTTTTCATATTTACTAATTAATATCTATCACAAATATTGAACAAATGTAGATAGATAAACTTTGTTTTTGTCTGACGGTTTTTGTGGCATTTATCATAATTAGCTTGTCTTCAATTGGGCGAACGTCAACAAAACTGACACTGTAACTGAAAACCACGGCTGTACACAATGCATGATATCATGAGCGGTACTCTTTCAAGTAGGACTGGGGCCAATTATTTGATTTCTGACGATTGTATGGACAATAGCCGAGGGATTGGCAGGGGCACTGCGCCACCAGTGGTGAATTAATTGCATCAAATATCAGTATGGTATTATTAAAATGTAAATTACAACATTATTTTTTTATAAATTATGCAATTATAGACTTCATAGAAATATTAAAAGAATTATCATATTTTCTCACAATTATTTAGGTCTTAGGAAATTGAAAGCCAAATTTGCAGTTACCGGGAATTCAAAACGTAATCACTCATTGGATTGTCAGGAAACTGAAAACGTGTTCAGTTACAACCAGGAATTCGAAAACGTGATCAGTTACAATCAGGAATTCGAAAACGTGATCAGTTACAACCAGGAATTCGAAAACGTGATCAGTTACAATCAGGAATTCGAAAACGTGATCAGTTACAACCAGGAATTCGAAAACGTGATCAGTTACAACCAGGAATTAGAAAACGCGATCAGTTCCCATCGGGATTTCGAAAACGTGATCAGTTCTATCGGGAATTGAAATCGTGATCAGTTCCCACCGGGAATTCGAAAACGTGATCAGTTCCCATCGGGAATTCGAAAACGAGATCAGTTACAACCAGGAATTCGAAAACGTGACCAATTACAACCAGGAATTCGAAAACGTGATCAGTTCCCACCGGGAATTCGAAAACGTGATCAGTTCCTATCGGGAATTCGAAAACGTGATCAGTTCCCACCGGGAATTCGAAAACGTAACCAATTACAACCAGGAATTAGAAAACGTGATCAGTTCCCACCGGGAATTCGAAAACGTGGTCAGTTGCAACCATGAATTCAAAAACGTGACCAGTTACAACCAGGAATTCAAAAACGTGATCAGTTCCCACCGGGAATTCGAAAACGCGACCAATTACAACCAGGAATTCAAAAACGTGATCAGTTCCCACA